AACTGTTGAATAGAGCATTTGGGAGGAGAGCAGAGGAGATTATTCAGAGGGGACTTTTTTCTAGATGAAAAAAGAGAAAGTTACCAACAGAAATCTCCTGTTCTTTATTTTTCCCCTCCTATTAAAAAAAGGTCCAACTGTTAGATTGATAAGAATTTTTCCTAAGGTATTCCAGAATTCCTAGATTTTTTAAAATGTATCCTGATGCTGAGGGGAGCTTGACCCTCAATAGTCAGATATAACTCTGTTTCCGCAGATGCAGTTTACCCCTTAGGTCACTGAGATCACTGGTAGGAGTCCATCACAACAGTGGGTGTGGTCTTGGGTAATGTATCAACAAGCAAGACAAGAATATGCAGCCTTATATGGTTAAATGTATGACTCTGAGAAAGAGAAGTGAGTCAGCATCCCACAGCACTTTCTAGTGGATTTCAAAGTGATACACTTATGTAAAAAAAAAAAAGCAAAATGTCCTTATTTTTCATTCCCTTATCAAGAAGGAAATATTCCCGTGTTTGTCTTCATACCTGTGTTTTGCTTGGGGGGATGAGCTTACATATGTGCCCATGTGGGTATGGAATTTCACAGATTGACTGGACTAGCTAAAGAGCAAGCCCCAGGATTCTTCTATAACTGCCATCTCAGCACTGGATTTTAACTACAGGCATGTTCTATCCCAAACAGTTTTTAATTAATAAATTAAATTAATTAAAATTGAACAATCAATTGATTGACTGATTTTGTTTTGTTTTTTCAAGAAAGGGTTCTCTGTATAACAGCCTTGGCTGTCCTGGAACTCACACTGTAGCCTCAAACTCACAGAGATCAGCCTGCCTCTGCCTCCAAAAACGCTGGGATTAAAGACATGTGTCACATTGTCAGGCCAACACTGATTTTTAAGTGGATATTGGCATCTGAACTCAGATCTTTATAATTCTTTGGCAAGAATTTTTTCCACTTGAACCATCTTCACAACCATTGTCCACTTCAACAAAAATTGTATTAATTCTTTGTGTGAACATACACTGGCACACACAGGACAGTAAAGGACATTGGCTGTCCTGTTCTATTACTCTCCATCCTAGGAGCTCTCCTGATACCCAGCAAGTTCCAGCAATCTTCCAGTCTACACTCCTCCCCACAATACTAGGATTACAAGTGCATGAGGACACTCCCACCTTTTCTATGTGTGTTCTGGAGATTTGAACTCAGATCCTCAAACTTAGGCAGCACTTTTATTGTTGATCCATTTATTCTGAACAATGCTAAAAATTTTTCATAATTCACATTAATTTTATGTCCTCCATTAAAGTATCCTTCAAACTATTTCCTATCTGTGTTAGACTGTATGCACAAATGTTGAGGAGAATTTTAAGAGTTAGGTCAGTTACACTCAAACTAGCAAGATAATCTTCATGTTCACTTTAGTAAAGACCATGTTCTTATTGGGCAGTCTTAATTAATTTCAAAGGGTTCATTGTCTTTGTTAGGACTTAATTCTCTACAGCAAAATACTGATGTCAGTGCTGTGAAATCCTCTCAGGATTTGTCAGAAGGCTTTAAGCTTTAGTCACAAGGAACATAGCTATTATTTTTTGTAGGTTCTTCAATCTCAATTGCTGTGAGATCAAGATACATAAATATTCTTAAATTCTGAGACCGTGACTATAAGGCAAATATGCTCTTTCAGAACATGCTCCTCAGTGAAATCCAGGTAGGACAACTATTCTAACTTTTTATATTAAATGTCTACATGGCAAATGTCTGCTTTTCTAATTTTTAAATAATTGTCAATTTCTCCTAAATCTTTACCATATAACCCATCTCAAAATTCAAAGATACAGGAACCAAGTTGAAGTGCAATACTGCAATCCACCTCACTTAATGATTCTAAGGTATAATGTCAAAATATTATGGGTAAAATAGCAAATGAAGACTTAGATAATTCAGGTGCATTTTAAAGTAATTTTCAATAATGACTGAAACATGTCATTATAATTTTCTTGAAATTTCTATTCTCTTCTTTCAATGTTTTGATTCCAGGCAACAAAATCACCTTGGCCGTAGTGGTATATAATTCAATCTTTCAGTCAATGTGACCTAGTGAATCATTTAAGTACTGAGAGTTAGTAGCATTCTAAGGGAAAATGAAATTTGGATTCAAACTTCTAGAATCTAAGTTTTTTTTTATTTTTAAAGTTAAAAACAAAAAAAATAAATATATCTACATGAGACTCTAAGGTGTCATGACCCACTTTAGAGAGCATAATTTTCTAAGGAAACAGAAAAATCAGAAAAGTCAAGTTAACTTTTTAATATTTTATTTTTAGCTTCTTATGATGACAAGTAAGTTTCAAGATAATTTCAAGTTTTGCTTGCTACTTAAATATAAAGCTAAGCCCTAAACAGTTACATCCAAGATATTTTGTCTTACAGTTACACCCTCCTGTTGGATCCTCCTCCAGATCTGACTATTGACTTACTTAGCAAGGGGAAGACTTTCTTAGGTAGCACCAGTATGAGGCTGAGAGATGGGGGAAGGTGTTGAGAACAGGAGTAGTTTCTCATACATTGCTTCTGAGTCCCAGCCCCTGGCCTGAAGGTGAAGGGTGAGAATTAGTCCTCCCCAGGAAGGGAGGAGGAAACCATACACTCTTGCTATCACAGATAAAACTTTAACCATCATTCTGGTTCTCTGGTTGCTAAGAGTTACTGACTTCCAGGAATCCTAGTACCAAACACATCTTGTGCCTGAAGCTGGTGATAGTTCTAGCATGGCATCTTCATGGCATGCCAAGGGTTCTGCCTGATCATCAGGTAGAAATTTTCCACACAGATGAATTAGGGCTGAGGAGTAGGCTGGTATGAACTTAGAAATTTCTGGACCCACTACAAAACTGTACTTTTGATTATAATAAAGTACCATCTCAAATCTCTACACAAACGAACTGGCCAAGCCAAAGAGATAAAAATAAACAACGACAGATGAAAAACAAAGTAATTTCACTCCCTTCAAAACATTTTGTATACTTATGCTGTTTCCTATGAGTTTTTTCCATTTATTTGGTTTTTTAATGCACCTTTATTATTATTTTTAAAAATTCTGATGTTAAGATTTCTTCAATAAATGAATATAGTCTCAAGAAACGAGGGCAGAAGAACAATGCTTCTTCTTTGCCCTCCGTAGTCTGACTGTCCACCCTGACTCATGACTCTAAGAACAAGGGCTTGAAGACATTTTGCCCAAGATGTCATGCAGTGTTCTTTGGATGTGGGGGTGTAGGGGGTGTCCTGGCTTCCATCTTGGGCAGAGCTTGGTTTCCTGTTCATGTTCAGAATGGTAACCTCATTGAGATCACTGCTGCCAAGAAGAGGGAGGCTCTGTATGAACAATATCCCTCTGCATGCTGATACATGCACTGTTTTCAATATCTGAGCAAAACCTACTGCATGGACATCACATCAGAATCAAATCACCTGGGGAGACATATCAATCACCGTAAGGAGGGAACCGCTAGACCAAATTGTGAACTGCATGGCATTGGAGGCTTGCCTTCTTCATAACCATCACCTCCAGCGACACTGCAGCTCGGGAGGGGCTCCTACATGTCTACTGCCACCTCAGAAAGCCCTCAATCGAGGCCTACCCTTGGCTGAACTGTGTAGCCTCCCTGCCTCCCCACCACCCTACCTCTTTCAAATGACTAGGTGACCTGAAGAGGAAAACATTTTACACACTTACTCATAGTTGTTATTTCAAATAATTTTTAAAGAATGTTAAAGATGCCTTTGCATGTATTATTTAAATATATTATAGCTTTCCAAGGTGGAATTGAACAGATGGCCTTATATTAACAAAACTTTTATATTCTACTCTATTTCATATTATAGCTTTTTTTGTACCTTTTGCATGCAAGGTGAACTTTTGTGCTTCCCACAAAGTCTAATACTTTGCCCAGGTTTTAAAGAATCAAGATAAAAATCCTTAAGGTAACATTTTAATAAGGTAGTGACATCAAGATTTACTTTGTAGATAATTGCTCACATTAGAAACTATGCAGGAACAAGGAATTGAAAAAAGTCCATTAGGATATTAAAAGAAAAATCACCCATCCCAGGTCATCAGGATGAAGTTGGGAATGTAAATAACCCTATCTCTCCTCAAAACATTCAATAACGTGTTTCACAGAAGTAGTATAAACCTCGGCTCAAAATGCTTTCAAATAGTAAAAGTGTCCAAATACAGATAGAAAAGTAAAGCAATGTAGATTACATAAGAGAATTTATAAAATTAGGTAAGCCTTCTAGTGCAGGACAGTAATCCTTGCTATATAGGAAACTAAGGCATGAAGGATTGGATATTGAAAGTTTATCTGAGATTCAGGGAATCATCAAGGAAAGAAGGGATAGCAATGAGATTGTCTCAAAATCCAGGGTTCTTTTTAAAAAATAATGGACTGGGAAAGACAGCTCAGTGGTGGACAAGACAACCACACACAACTGGAGTTAACATTATATGTAAAGTATCCTTACAAAACAGAGGAAGGTATTAAATATTTCAAAAACTCAATGGAACCAATTGCATAGACAACTCAGTGTTTACAAAACTGTCATTTCTTTAACTTTTGGGGTAATTTTATTCACAGATAACTATATATCATTTGTCCTTAGTAATCTTTATGCAATTCATTAAAGTAAATGTAATATATTGATAACATATTTTCAAACATATTTCCTCTTCCTGCTGAGTGTATGAAAAAGTTTCAGTTAAATAAAAACACATTTATAGAAAATTTTGTTTGGAGATCATAGATGCCAACACTGTATATGATTAAATACTCTCAAGAAGCATAGTTAGCTGCATCCCAGAGACAACAGTAGTTGCTCAAAGAAGAAATTTCCCTCTTATACAAAGAAAGCATAAATAGAAAGTTATATTCTCAGCATTACAATTTTTATCTTTGTAATTACAGTGGCTACAGACAAGCTAAGATGCTGAGATGGCCGAGAAAAACTACTCTATGACAAATAAATTCATCCTGGTAGGATTCTCAGATCACCCAAACCTGAGCACCCTCCTGTTCCTGGTGTTCTCTGTCATCTATCTAATCACCATGGTGGGGAATCTTGGACTGGTGGCCTTGATCTACATGGAACGCCGTCTTCACACACCCATGTACATCTTTCTGGGCAACCTGGCTCTCATGGATTCCTGCTGCTCCTGTGCCATCACTCCCAAGATGCTACAGAACTTCTTTTCTATGGACAGAAGGATTTCTCTCTATGAATGCATGGCACAGTTCTATTTTCTCTGTCTTGCTGAAACTACAGACTGCTTCCTTCTGGCAGCAATGGCCTATGACCGCTATGTGGCCATATGTAACCCATTGCAGTACCATACATTGATGTCCAAGAAGCTCTGCCTTCAGATGACCACAGCAGCCTACATAGGAGGAAGCCTGCATCCTATGATTGAAGTGGGTCTGTTATTGAGGTTAACTTTCTGCAGGTCTAATGTAATCAAGCACTTTTTTTGTGATGTCCTTCCATTATATAGAATCTCCTGTATTAATCCACATATCAATGAGCTAATATTATTTACTTTGGCAGGATCAATTCAAATCTTTACTATTACTATAGTTCTGGTGTCTTATTTCTATATCCTTTTCACTATATTCAAAATGAAATCTAAAGATGGTAGAGGCAAAGCCTTATCAACTTGTGCATCCCACTTTTTGTCTGTAGCAATGTTCTATGGGTCTCTTCTCTTCATGTATGCTCAACCACATTCAGTCAATGAAGGAGATAAAGATATACCTGTAGCTATTTTTTATACCCTAGTAATTCCTTTATTAAACCCTTTCATTTACAGTCTGAGAAATAAGGAAGTAATAAATGTGATGAAAAGACTCATGAAGAAGAGATGATACTGCAACATTAGAGAACAAGGACCTCCTCCTTTGGAAAACAGATTTAAATCTTAAAATGCCCTTTCCTAAATACACACATACTACAAAAGTGGTAAAGTGTAAAACCTGATCAATTTATGAAATCCTAAGAAAATTTGAATAAAATTAGTTCATAGTAAATAAATGTGTTAAAATATGCTTTAAATTCTCATGATCAAATTAAAGAACCCCTGAAGTATTGGAATGTTTTCAATACATCTAATGAATTTTAGGAATAAAGTTGTTATTCCTAATGATAGTATCCATCTATATATTTGCAAATTTTTCTTTTTCAGATATTGAAATTTCAAGGAAATTACAAGCTTTTATTTATAATAAGCAATTCCATCAATGGAAGAAAATCTTTATGGCTTAACTTGATTTTCAATTTTTTTCAAGATGTTATAGTTCAGTATGTACTATTTAAAAAATTATTATCTAACAAGCATATTTTCTTTTTTTATCAAGAATTTTTTTATTTTTTAAATTTTTTTATTTTCAGTTTAAATAGCTTGTTTTACATGTCAATCCCAGTTCCCTCTCTCTCCCCTCCTCCCGTACTCCCCATCCCCTCCAGCCTCTCACCCTATTACCAATTCCTTCCATCTAGGGTATATCTAGAGTCTGTCATTTCACTCAGGGTAGGGTCCAGGCACTCCCCTAAGAGTCCAGGCTGAGAGAGCATCCCTCTTTGTGCTATGGGCACACGATGTCTGTTTGTATTCCAGGGATAAACACTGATCCACTGCTCAGGGCCCCATAGGTTGCCCAGGCCTTCTCACTCACACTGACATTCAGGGGTCCAGATTAGTCCCATACTGGCCTCCCCACTGTCGGACTGGGGTCCAAGAGCTCTCCCCTGTTCAGATCAGCTGTCTCTGCTGGTTTTGCCAGCCCTCTCTTTGCCAATTTGCTCATCATTCCTCTCTCTCTCTGTGTCACTGGGTTCCATGGGTTCAGTTCAGTGCTTAATTGTGTGTGTTTGCCTCTGCTTCCATCAGTCACTGGATGAAGGCTCCCGGATGGTTATAGACATCAAGTTCATCATCAGGAATGGGCATTCGAGGTGGTCTTTCCACTATTGCTTAGCTTGCCAATTGGTGTCATCCCTTTAGATCACTAGAGGTCACTCTGGTGCCTGATCTGTCTTCTAACCTATGATTCCCTCTTCCCCCTATTCTACCCCCACCCACTCAAACTTCCTGTTCCCCCATGACCTACTCTCTCTTCCTCTTCTCCCCCTCTCTTCTTCCCAGCTCCCACCCCCCCACCCCTCGCCGGGTTCCCCATCCATTCAGAGGATCTTGTCTCCATCCTCTTCTCTTGGGTACTATGCATATATGCATATCTTTTAGGTTATTTCCTGTTTCGCAGACTCTCTATCAGTGGAAGTGCAGACAGGCACTATCCTGATCCATGTCTAAAATGCATATATGGGTGAGTACATACCATGTTTGTCTTTTTGCGACTGGGTTACCTCACTCAGGATGGTTTCTTCCAGTGCTATCCATTTACCTGCGAATTTCAAGATTCCATTGTTTTTGTCTGCTGAGTAATACTCCATTGTGTAAATGTACCACATTTTCTCTATCCACTCTTCAGTTGAGGGGCATCTAGGTTGCTTCCAGGTTCTGGCTATTACAAATAATGCTGCTATAAACATAGTGGACCAGACGCCCTTGTTGTATGAATTTGCCTCCTTTGGATATATGCCTAAGAGTGGAATTGCTGGGTCTTGTGGTAGATTAATTCACATTTTCCTGAGGAATCTCTATACTGATTTCCAAAGTGGCTGTACAAGTTGGCACTCTCACCAGCAGTGGAGGAGTGTTCCTCTCTCTCCACATCCTCTCCAGCATAAATTGTCTTCAGTGTTTTTGATTTTAGCCATTCTGACAGGAGTAAGATGGTACCTCAGAGTTGTTTTGATTTGCATTTCCCTGATGGCTAAGGATGTTGAACACTTTCTTAAGTGTCTCTTGGCCATTTTAGCCTCCTCTATTGAGAACTGAATATTAGTCATTTTTACTGTCACGTTTTCTGACCCACAGTGTATATGTAGGGCTTATCAGTCTGTGCTTCAAAGTAATTCTACTAGAAATTTCTATGTGTTTTGATTATTCCTTCTTTTGGTCATTTGTCCATTATGTATTGCACTGCAACTCCCAAATATTTCCATTAAATTAAGTTTATTCTGCTCTATGATACTATCATTGCTTGTTGGTTTGTTGGTTTGTTAGAAATAACAACACCTTCACCAACTCAAATGAAAACAATGGATATGTTAGTAACTTTAAAAACAGATGTGATTCAAGTCTATCAGAGCAGAAAACTAGTGAAGACTCTAAATATATAAAAAAATGACTATTCACCAGAAAAGAAAAAGAATTCCACAAAATACACTCCTGATTGTACTAAGCTTTTGATATTTGTTTCTTACTGACTATTTGAGCATTCGAAAGTTTGAGTCAATATTGCCTTTTCTCTAGATACTTGAAATCTAGCAAAATGGAAATTTTCTTTAAATGTTTCAACCCTATACAAAGAACGATGGGCAACTAATGAAAGCTGAGAGCAGGAGAAATAGTCTTCCCCACAGAAGAAGACACCAATTGGTTTTCCAGGACCAAATGATCAGTTCTGAAAGAAAATTATTTGCACAGACACACACACACACACACACACACACACACATAAACAGACTAAGCAGCTTAAATGATATACTTAAGAGTACACAAAGTCATAGTTCTCAATACATGTATGTAGAGATAGATGAAAGATTGATAAACAGATCAATAATTTGATGTATAATAGATAATAGACAGACAGATGATGGATGAGTAGATAAATTGATATATGATAGATAGATAGATAGATAGATAGATAGATAGATAGATAGATGATAGATTAGATGGTTAGATGAGAGTTGGATGAATGGATAGATAGATGATAGATAGATGTATAGATAGATAGACAGACAGACAGACAGACAGATAGGTAATGTGACAGCTATTATGGAAAACAGGATCTGAAATTGAAAGATAGCAATGTGGTGTACATGGGAGTGTTTGGATGGAGGAAAGGAAAGGGAAAATGATGCAATAATGTTATAATATCAAAAATGTTATAAAAGGGACTTGATTATTAAGTAACATCAGGCATAAAATGCACATTCAAGTCAATCTTGGGGGAAGTGAGTGCATCAGTGGGAATGGGAGCTGTGGGTGAGCACTGGACAGAAAAGGTGCAATGGACTGTTTAGAAGACAGTACTTCATGTAAGGTTGCAAGTTGTACTTCCTTTTAACAACTGGTCTTTATTATGGTGCTCATCTCTATGAGGATGGTCAGGAGTTTCCTTTATGCTATGCCTCACTGAAACACAAAGTAAATTTTACATTTTCACCTATTTTATTGATTTTTATATTCTTTCTTTCTCCTCCTTCCTTGTTTCCTCCCATCCTCCTCTCCTCCTGTGTTTCTCTACCCTTCCTCCACTCCACTCCCTCCCTCTCCTCTCCTCATGCCTATTCTCCATGCTCCGTCCCTCTTCTCTCTTTGTTCTTCTGTTCCTGCCCCTCCTTTTCTTCTCCTCATTCCCTCTATTCCTGTCTCCCCCTTTCCTTCCTCCTCTGGATTCCCTTTTCCTAGTCTCCTGTTCCACTTTCCGTCCTTTCCTACCCTCTGTCCCTCTCTTGCCTTTCCTTTGCTTCCTCTTCCCCCTTTTTACTTTTCCACTCCTTTTCCTCCCTTTATTCCTTTCTTCTTATCTAACATTTTCTTCCCTCCTTCTCTTTCTCTTAAATATTTAAACCTCTATTTACTCAATGAGGAAAACCTTGTATATATAAAATACACACCTCCCATCTAGAAAACAGGCTCTATCAAATTTTCAGAACTTTTGGAATAAATTGGGTCTATTAATATATCGGGCATCCTATGGAAATCAGTATGGAAATTCCTCAGGAAAATGGCAATCAATCTACCACAAGACCCAGCAATTCTACCCTTAGGCATATATCCAAAAGATGCAAATTCATACAACAAGGACATCTGCTCCACTATGTTCATAGCAGCATTATTTGTAATAGCCAGAACCTGGAAACAACCTAGATGCCCCTCAACTGAAGAGTGGATAGAGAAAATGTGGTACATTTACATAATGGAGTATTACTCAGCAGAAAAAAAACAATGGAATCTTGAAATTCGCAGGTAAATGGATGGCACTAGAAGAAACCATCCTGAGTGAGGTAACCCAGTCACAAAAAGACAAACATGGTATGTACTCACTCATATATGGATTTTAGACATGGATCAGGATAGTGCCAGTCTGCACTTCCACTGACAGAGAGTCTGGGAAACAGGAAAGAACCTAAGAGAGATATGCATGGTACCCCAGAGGAGAGGAATGAGGCAAGATCTTATGAACAGATTGGGAACACGGAGAGGGGGGAAAGTGGGAGCTGGGAAGAAGAGAGGGAGAGAAGAGGAAGAGAGAGTAGGTCATGGGGGAACAGGAAGGTTGAGTGGGGGTAGAATCAGGGGAAGAGGGAATCATAGATTAGAAGACATTATCTGGCACCAGTGAGACCTCTAGTGATCTAAAGGGATGACACCAACTGGCAAGCTAAGCAATAGTGGAGAGACCACCTTAAATGTCCATTCCTGATGATGAACTTGATGTCTATAACCATCCTAGAACCTTCATCCAGTGACTGATAGAAGCAGAGGCAAACACCCACAGTTAAACACTGAACTGAACCCATGGAACCCAGTGACAGAGAGAGAGGAGTGATGAGCATATTGGCAAAGAATGGGCTGGCAAAACCAGCAGAGACAGCTGATCTGAACAAGGGAGAGTTCTTGGACCCCAGACCGACAGCTGGGAGTCCAGCATGGGACTGATCTGGACCCCCTGAGTGTGAGAGTCAGTGAGGAGGCCTGGGTAACCTATGTGGCACTGGGCAGTAGATCAGTGTTTATCCCTGGCATACAAACAGACATCGTGTGTCCATAACACAAAGAGGGATGCTCTCTCAGCCTGGACTCTTAGGGGAGTGCCTGGACCCTGCCCTGAGTGAAATGACAGACTCTAGGTATCCCCT